CTGATGAAGAGTCCTTCAACTTCCCTGTGGCCCACTTTCAGATGCTGGAAGGTTGCTATGAGGTATTCATGCTACTTTCTCTTCTCCAGGCTGAGCAACCCCAACTTTCTCAGCCTGTCTTCATAGAGGAGGTGCTCCAGTCCTCTTGATGCCTAAAATGGAAGAAAGGAACTTTCTAGACAATATTAGTACAGATAAAGTAGAGAGCAGGTCATTATTAAAGCTCTTTAGGTACACTAAATACATAAGTGCACATAAGTGTATGATACAGTATAGGCCTAGTACAATTTTATAATACTAAATAATTATCATATCTAATGGATTCAACCAACCTGAAAATTGCCCACCCCCAGAACCTCCCTCAGGTCCACCCCTCGGCACACCTCCCCGGAATTGAGTCGGGGGTCTCAAGACCCCTTTCTTCTTCACCATCATCATCTTCAGCATCACATGCCTTCTTTAAAGCGTCTCTAATGTCTCTGGGCCTCCTGGGTTGCTTTGACTGCAATAATATCTTATGTCCTTCCAGGTACATGTCCCAAACAAGATGTACTTGCTAAAATCTTTTTCCTTGAAAAGAGCATTAAAGGAAACTTGAAGAATTTTGTGAATTTGGTACAAAGCATGAGAAAGGGAGTTTAGTAACTGCTAACTGCTATTTTAAAGTGTTAGAAACTATACAGATGTATTAAAAATCTATATGCTACAAATCTTAAGAATCCTAAGGCATCACTCTTATCAACTTCTTGGCCCCCCTGGACTTTCTCTAACAGTTTCATGTCCCAACATAAATCCGAAGTAACACATACTTACTATTGCAGTATTTGAGAGAACCTATTTCTGAAAGCTGTATGAATTCTTCACCAGATTAAAAACTGAGTACCATTAGAAAGGATAAATATCTCAGATTTAACGCTGATTGGTATGGGTTTTTTGGGTTTTTTTTAGCTAAACTCCCTGTTAAAAGAATGCTTCTGAGATAAAATGAAACATGAAAAAAAGAATTAGACAATCTCAAATATTAAAGTGAAATTATTTTCTTTGCAGATACAGGTAAAGAAGTTAATAAGTTACTTTAGAATAGGTAGCTGAAAAAGCTGGAACAGCTTTTCCTGCTGTTAATTCTTGTCATGGTCATGCTTATGAGAGTGTGATAAAGATGATACCAGTGTTTTGCCCCAGCTCTCTAGTTACAGGCAGTTCCTTTGGGATCTTGGAGTTCTCTATTGCGCTGCAGCCAGCTGGGAACTGGTACTGTGCAGACTTGAGTGTGAGGGGCTGTAATTGCCTGTCAAAAACATCTCTGTCCTCTCATTCTGTACTGAGCATGGTTAGTTTCACAGCTGGTTTAAATGAATAAGAGAAATAAAACCTCATGAATAAAGGTCACAGGTATGAAATATGCCTGCTATTACTATAACAGAGTAGTGACCAAGGTTCTGTGCCTGCATATTTGCCCAGTTATTGAAAACCTCATGTCTCTTGAGTACTTACCTCATGTGATCATATGCAAAAGCCCCAATTAATGACTTGGATTCTTTTATTCTTTGCACCACTGCAACTTTGGTTGGTTGATTTGTTTGTTTCCATGTGCTGCTTAATATTGGCAGAAGAATGCATTTTTTTACCCAAAACTTTCATGTAGGTGACAGATTATGCCATCACTAAAGAAACATTCAGGATGTAAAGAATGCACCTTGCTTCTGTTTTAAGTTGTTTGTTTTTGTTATGTCTTTGCCTGCTGTAGCTAAAAACATAGTGTTGTCAGCCTAATGATTCCATATACCTCTTTCCATTTTCTCTAATTTTTAGTTAAAAGCATACGAAAACTGTGTTTTTCTAGGATTTCATGACACCTCATTTCATGTCCTTAGAGCCAAATTCACCACTGTGAATAAGTTTATCTGCCAATAGTGAATTGTCTGCCTGTCTTTCTATCTTGACTCTGTTTCCTAGCTTTATGCCCTGAGTCAGCAGTAGGAAATTCAAAACATGCTCCATAAAAAATGGAAGCTGCTTGTGAATACAGCCTTTTTACAGTGCAGAGCCTTTACAAGTATAAGCTGATTTTTATGCTTTATTTTATAGGGCCATGCTTCCATTTTCAGTATTTAATGGCTTGTCATATGTGATAGGTCAAGACTAGGCAAGAGTTTTAACCTGTAAATAATTAGCCAAGTGATCTTATATTTCAAAATTACTGAGATTTGTAAACATGAGCTGTAATTCTGAAAATTCTGATTATTTTCATGTCCAGCTTTTTCATGTGAAGTGTTCTTGTGCTGTTTTGGAAATGTTACCTTGTCAGCCCATATGGTCAGAGTTAGCTTCCCAGATAAAGTTCCTATTTCAAAAATAATGAGAGTGATACATTACTTTATATGGTGACACACTGTTTTATAACACAAGCATTAAATGGATGACTCAGAGGTGATCCTGAAGATTTACGCACACAATAAACTTTAAGCATTGGAGTAAATTTAAGTTTGCACATAAGTCTTCCCAGGATTAAATTATAAAATTTAGGTGCTGATTGCCAAATATTTACAAATATTTACTGACAGAAGTGTTCTACTTGGTAAACTATATTTAATGATACACTACCCCTTGATTTTTTTCCATGCTTAAGGCAAAGACAGTGGTATTACCTTGAAATTATCCTTTCTGCTTTTCCCTTCTTTTTTATACTTCGCCCTTACTTAATTTTTTGGGTGTCAAATACAGAGAGTCAAAGTAATTAGAATTTTTTGGTGTATTTTCAGTCTAATTTAAAGCCTGAAAGCTTTACATATTCAGAAAGACAACATAAACAGGTGTTTATATTTAGATCAGATCTGAAGCTTCCAGGAAATGGTTCTTATCAGGTGGTTATACTAAGCATAGAAACGAGATTTTATAAAAAAATGGATGAGAAAATTGCAAGACACTGTGCATAATAAGAAGCTGCATTTTGTTTAACGGGGGCAGTTTCTTGTCTCTGAGTAAAATCCATAAGTATAGAGGTGCCTCTTTTGAGATACTGTTGGGTAAGAAATACTTCTGTCGGATTTTTGAGATATATAAGGTCAATATGAGGGCTTTGCTGGCTGCTTGCTTTGTCAGGTGGTTTCAGTCCTTTGTGTCCCAGTTTTTCCATCTGTAAAGTAGTTGTACTGATTCTGATTACTTTCATAAAGTGTTTTGATATCTATTTATGAGATGGTGTCTTTAAGAGCCACATACAGTTAGTACAATGTAATATACATGAATATATCTCTTTATTAAAAAGTCAAATTATGTGATATTTTACCTACCCGAATTCTATGATAGTTCTCTTAATTTGCCAAGAATCCTCACAACTCACCCCATTTTGGTCTTCTTTCTCCAAAAATTGCAACCAAGCTCCTGGGTTCATCTGATAATTCAGAATTTAGGCTTCATTTATTATTATTATTATTATTAATTATATCTTAAAATGGTTACTGGCTTTTGTAAGTTAGAAAGAAATGATTGACAAGTGCACCTCAGCAGAATGAAATGAACAAATCCTATTCCCTTCTTCCTCTCAAGACTTTAAAGCCAGTGATATGATTGTAGACTTATCTTTTGAATTTGGATGCTTGGAATTACTATTATTTGTTTAAAAATTCTTTGTCTACCCAGACTAGCCATTAAGTACAGTTCACCTTTGTGGACTTATGTCCCTTTATGTTTCATAAATGAGACAGAACCTAGAAGTTTAGCTGTTGACTAAGTCCATCTGTTAAAATATACTAGAATAGCTAAATCATGTAGGGACACTGTATGGAGAATTAAAATATTCAATAATATTTTCATAGTTCAAAATGGTTGAACTGCTCTGGAAGAAATTTAGAACTGTTTTTTGTTGTTTCTGAAAAAGTGTCAGGTAATTAACCTTTCTTAGTGCTACAGTTCTGTGGCTTTCAGCCTCCCCCTATCTCCCCCCAGCTCTCTTGGCAATGTGGTGAGCTGTGAGTGATATCAGCTACCTGTCACCCACTGAAAACCTTGGTGAAATTATGCTGAGTTCCTTGAATGCAACAAGAGGCAAAATTTAGCTGCAGCATCTTATTCTCCTTTATTTCTCTTCCTTCTCTTTTTGCTTCTGGTTATCCCGACTGTTGAGGTGGAGAACCTAGTTGTGGTTTAATATTTGTTCAGGAGACCAGTGTTGGAAAGTTTAAGTGGTCTGCCCCAAGCTGAAACAGTAAATGCTGCTGTGAAAATCTGTAATTCTTACTGAACACAGAGTTACCATATTCATATGACTTAGGAAAGTCAGGGTTTCAAGAAGGCCTACATGCAAATGGAAATGGAACTGGATACTTAGAGAGAGGAGAATGGTATATAGAAGAGTTCTTGAAAAGGAAATCCAAAACTGAAAAAATGGCATTCCAGAAACCATACTCAAAATCAAGACCATTACACACAATCCTATGAAAGAGCACAAAGGAATGCAAGTTGTCACAACCTCCTGTGATGAGTGAAATTTGCAGTAAAAATAGCAGGTTCTGATGTCAAAGTAGAACTTTTCCACATTTAATAAAATGTATTTGGATGTTCTATTCATGTAACAGCATCGGCTCATTTCATTCTAGAGATAGATGTAAAAATAAACCAGAATCTGAACTGTCACAATACTGATCCTCACAGTTTTACCAAGGGGGATGGAACCCAGTCTCCTTTTCTTGTCAGCTGTTTAATGCCAGATTCAGAGCTTTGTAATGAGGTTTCATAATATGTGTCTTATTACTCTGGCTGGGGTTCAGATCAAAGCATTTGCACTTTCACATTTTGTCTTTGCATGTGTCAAAATGCGTCTATTTGGCTCTACTGGTGTTGTGGTTTGAGCCGCCCCCGGGGGGATGGGGGGGTGGAAGTGGTTGGTCCCAGGTGAGTTTCTGATCAGGGGCCAATCAGAGCTGCATTTCGCCCCTGTGAAATTAGGATATTACAACAGCCGGAAGGAATTTCTTGGCAGAGAGAGAATTGGAGCCACGATGGGTGGCCAGGGGCCCCCGAACTCGGGGGGGCCCTGGGCCTCCATGGCCTTGGTTCGGCCGGGGCCAGAGTGGTTTCTTCGCCGTTTCCCCACTGCCCTGAAGAGGCGGTGGCATGGGGCTTCAGAGGCCAGCTGGGGGTTGGAGCCAGCCTCCCCCTGGCAGGCAGGCTCAGCATCAGAGCCAAACCAGACACGGGCTGAGGGGTGGCCCAGAGCTGCAGAAGCAGCGGAGATCATGCAGAGCAGGAAGAATTCCAGGCAGAGGATGAGAGAAAGACTTCAAGCAGTCTCGCTGCCACTTCCTCCCCTCCACAATGGCAGGGGAGGAGGCAACCCTGAGTTGAGACTGAGCAACAGAGAGACAGGCCAGGCCGAGGGGCTCAGAGGTTTGGGTGGGGGCAGCCGAAAACTGAAGGAGGGATGCAGGGGGAGGAATGCCTCCCTGTAACACGTGGAAGTCGAGCTAACGCTGCAGTAGCTGAAACAGAGAGAAGCCAAACCAAGCAGGCTTTTTCTGGGTAAGGACTTTTGGTGAAAACTATTTGGGATATAAAGACTGAGCAAAACCCAGAAACCCTGTACCTTAGAGAGCAAGAGTGGACATCTTACTCTCTGGGAGGAACCTTTGCGAACCAGGGGGAAAGGACTCAAAAGCTGACCCACTGTAAATCGTGATGAAGACCTGGTAAGGCAAGTGTTCCCTTGTAGTCCAGGAGGAGACCTCAGCAGAGGCCAAGCAGCTGGTGGGGGTAAAGAAGACCCCTTCCTTGATACCCCAGTGAGAGAGAGACTTTAGCTATCATCCTAGAGGGTTCTTCTTCTTGATTGATGTGGAAGGACCCCAGGGGTGGTAAAGACTGTATTAATACTGTGTATTTATTTGCTTTTTAGTTTCTATAGTATTTATTGTGTTAGTAATAAATCTTGATATGGTTTTCCTCATGCTAGTAGATGTGTTATGTCTGAAAACCCCTCTCACATTGAGGCAAAGTGTGGGGAGCTTAGAAATTGGATTTTTGGAGGGCTCAAACCACGACAACTGGTCTTAATTGGCTCCCTTGACCTTCAGTTGCCTTCAAGTACCACAAATTCAACTTCCTATGGTGAACATATGGAAGATTGAGGCATTAAAAGAAAAGGCTAGTTTCATCTGCTGGCAATTAATATAATGTTATTCATGCATGTAATGGATTGCTCTTTTTTACTTCTAACTAATTAAAAAGGTCTATTTCAGCATTAAAGTTCTGAGCGTCTTCATTGTGACTGACTTCCCATTCTCACAAGCAGTGTTCAGAAGTGCTGAAGGAATGGTCCCAAGGCTTCCGTTAAACCTCTCAGAAGAGAATCTTCCCTAAAAAGAGAACATACATTCAGTTCCATTTCTGTATAAGTATGTTTCTAACTTAAGAACTGGTCAGTGTACATCAGAATTGAGCAATGAATACAGGAACAAGACATATATTACTTTGGGAAGTTTTCCAGCCACTGAAAAGAATAAAGTTCCATCTGCTGTCCACTGATAGCAGACCTTTGGGAGTTATTTCAGAATAAAATACTAGCATAATGGACAACAAAAATACAGTGCATGTATCTAATGTATCATAAAGAAGCATCATTCACTTCTTTAGAAAGATTGTAACAGGAGGAAATGGCTTTATTATCATAAAACGATATTAAAAATAACAGTAAGTGTAGTAAGAATAAATGGTATATGAGATTTGTCATTCTTTAGCATCACTAGAATGTTTGGCTTCTGTTGAGGAACTCTGCAGTAAGATTGCTGTCATTGGGACAGGATTTGATAAGCATTATTGATTCGTACTCTTATGGGTTTTTTTTCAATTTCTTTTTAATATGTAAGTTTTCAACCTGGTAGTTGTTCCTAAACTTTGCTCTGCATCTTACAAACGGAACAAGACTGTTTCAATTGAATGGTTCATGTGTGGGAAAATGTGTGTTCCTTTTTTGCAGTCTTTCTTTATTGCATACTTTTAATTTCATCGTCTGTGGAAATACTGCAAAGAACTTGTAGCAACCCTAACTGAAAAATGGTGAAGTTTGTGACCATTTCAGCTATTCAAGATATTCTACATGGCAAGCTAAGGATTCTCCTTAACAGAGATTTCCAATCTGACAGGAAGTTGTGGTACAGGTAAAAATTAAATCTGAATTATTGTAAAAAGGAATTATCTGTAAAATCATGTGTACTTTATTCTTTGGTATTTTTTCAGATGTATTGCAAATATTTTTTTACAAGCAACTGCAAACAATCCTTTGTGCGTGTACTTTTATGCATACATATTTCAGCAGATATTTCTGCATGCATGTGGAGACAATGAGGATGAACCAAGAAAAAGAATTGATTTTGCAGTTTCCTATCAATGTGGCCCACAATCATTTTATCTTTCTTTGTACAGGAAATTCATTTGTCTTTTTCTGGTTCCAGTGGCTGTGTAGTATCTTGTAATCAGAATGCTTTTCCTTTACTGTACAAATTCACAACTTCAGGGGAACAGAACTATTGTAGAAAATCACCATCCTTGTGGGGGGAAGAAGGGGAAAGGTGGGAAATGCTCGAATGCTTGGAAACAGTAGATGACTGAGATGCTGTTCAGTGAAGATAGCACACAGGGAGCTGGTAATTATCATAGTATCCTCATAGTGTTGTGTTACACTACAAAGTTTGTACATTAATTGGAATCACTAAGTCAGTCGGCAGCCCACAGCTATGGTTGGTCACAGTCTGCAGTAGATCGTGTGATACATAAGGCATTTGTTACCTGAGCAGTCATGTCTAGAAACAAGCACTTTTTTTTCTGTCATGTGTGTCTAGATGTCTTGTTAGCATCCTGGAATCCAGAAGACAGAACTAATTGATTTAAACGTGGATAGGTCAGTCAAAATATATGAATGATTATATTCTTTAAACCAGTTTTTGTAGGAAAATAAATAGTTGTATTTGAAATTAATGGGAACAATGATATTTGCTTTTTATATAACACACTATAAAATGTGTATTACATACCCGCTCTTGAACCTTGTAGAAAAAAAATACTGATTAATAAATTAGAGGGAAGTTATAGGAGATTGGGAGCAGTATAACTGAGGTCAGAAAGTGGTCATAAGATAATATCTTAGTTTATTAGTGTATTAGACTGGTGTCTTTGTAGCAGGAACTATATCCACTTCACTCTTTACAGGATACCCAGGACAGTGTGGCCTAAACTGTGGGGTTCAGAGCCACTTTTCAGTGCTGCAGTGGCGTATTTCCAGTTTAAGGCTGTTTTAGTGGTCATACAAGCATCACTTCTTCATGGCTGACAGAATACCAGTCTAACACCACATCTGTCCTTCTAACCTCAGGAGTGCTGAGGGCTTTCCTTTACCTCATTAGCTGTGAATAATTTATATTTGCTGACAGCTATCATAATTTAGAGGGATGGACCCAGTTCACACCAAAGCAAACACTGAGAGAGTTCATGTAAACCTTTGCAGATGCTTTGTAAAATCTTAACTGGGTTTAATGTAAAGGATGAGTGACAAAATTTTATATTTAGTATTAGCTGCATGTCCTTTTGTTGTAACTATGCAAATGCTCTTTTGTATCAAAACATCATTAAACTTTTAATCATATATATATAAGGTGTTCAAAAAAAACAAATCATGCTAGGACTAGAAGATGTTTCATCTCTAAGGAAAAAATTACGTGTTGAGAAAGCTTGATTGGGCAGGAGAACATTGTACATAGTTACAAGTTGCTTGCATGAGTAATTTTAAAATCAGATTGCTTTGTATTTTGTTCTGCATCTCCGTGAATTCTGTATGAGAGCTCATGGGAGGCTTTTTGCTTACAGCTTTTTCCTATGGCAGATGCAGCTAAGAAGCATTTTGTACCAAGCAGTGTTGGCCTGTTGGGCAAACACGGTGATGATGTATCTGGGCATGGCCTCTCCTGAGACATGGAGGTTTGCTAGTATATTCTTCCTAGCATCTGTGGGCCCAGAGTGGATGATGAGTTTATTATGATTTTGTGAGATGGGAAAGAGGAAATACAGAAAAGATGTAATAGGAAGAAATATAAATACGTGTGAGAACCTGCTTATTTTTCGTTTCCTGGCCTTCATAGCTTCCAGTCATGGTATTTGATAACCTACTGTGACTTACAGCATAGACTGGAGAAATGTTGAACTGTTACAAGAAAGGAGACATATGCCAAGGGACATGTAAACACCTAGACAGAGAGAGAATTATTCAACTGGAAACTGTCCACTACAATTATTGCTTTTATTTAAAATATAAAACAAGTATTGCTTTATCCCAGAAAATAAAAAATAAACCTGACTTGTAGGGACAAACCCGCACAAAATATTTCATTTAAATGTCATTAGATAAATATATTAGTAGCAGAATTGCACATTAGCAGCACATTTTTAATTCCTCAGGTACAATTAAGGGAAGTTCATATACTTTGTAAGTATTTGAGGCCAAGACAATAAGAACAACTGTAGTTTTAATAATTAATTTGATATTGTTAAGGAAACACTTTTCCCCATCTTTTGATCTCCAGTGTACGATGGTATTAGAGGATAAAGATAATAGAAATAAGAAAATTAAATGGCTGTTCTTAACAGGCAGAAAGGAAAAGATGAACTAGTTGGGCAGTCCCAGTTCACCACTGTATCACGACTAGCTTAGTCCATAGAAGTAGGAATTTTCCTGGTTATAGCAGCAGCCACACAACAGTTACTGAGATTTAGAGCTCCATTATTACTACAACTCTTTTTTAAGGATACATTGGAGCTTTTCAGTTCATTATCTTCTACAGTTAGCAATGGTGCTATATATTTTTGGTGGTATAACATCAACCCGCGATATAACTGACAGTGGAAATCTGTCTGGCACTGCGTTGTGAATACAAACATTCCAAAGCAATATGGCCAGGGACTCAGCTGAAGGAAATCACTATCTGGCTATTCTGGAAGAAGAAGTGCACAGAATATGAAAGGGCAGCATTAACCTTTTCTGTAGTTTGTAGTAAATGATAAGTGATTTAAAAATGCTGCATAGGGAGCTCTGAGATGCACAGGGCATAGTTATGTGGTTGGAGATACAAGTAAAATTTCAAACCCCTCCATGAATTAAATCAAGCTGTGATTTATGTGTAAAAATATTCATTATCTATGATTACACAGAAACTATCCAGTTGCATGTGAAAATTCCTTGGACTTAAGAATATTTTTTAGACTATTAGTTGCTTAAAATTCATATCAGTTACATTGCTTGTATCTGTTATTCACTATGCAAGGTCTGTACAGTGGAATACGCACTTAAATCTCAATTTCAGGATGCATTTTGGTATATACTTTATTCTATTCCTTTATTTCATAATTCCAGGAATTATGCCAAATATAAGGAGCAAAACCAGTCCAGATAGGCTGTTGACG